TTTTTTTTTTTTTTTTTTTTCACATCTATAAATTGAGATATGCAACAGAAGATTTTAATCAGACCATTACCTCTTGAATGCTTCTGAAGAAAGATCACATAATAAATTCCTTCTTCTTCTTCTTCCTTTTAAGCTTCCCTGCAACCATACCATGGAGGAAGAACTTCGCCCGTGTAAGCGTTTTTCTTCGCTACTACTAGCTGAGCAAACCATGCAGCGTCTCTTAGCTGATGGAGCTGCATTCTCAACTCCAGTTTCACGAAGAAGTGCAAACTACCAGCCAAGCTTATGGGATGACAACTATATTCAGTCGCTACCTGATGGCTCTCTGGTAACAGTGACAGCTTTATGTTCAGATAGCTTTTGTTCTAGTCTACTTTCGTTTATGAATTCTTTTATTGGGGAAATTTGGGGCCAAAGCCCTTTGTTTCTAAATTTTATTACTAAGATTTTATTTTTAACTACTTTCTAAAATAAATTTCTAGTATAAAATTTTTAATTTTCAATAAAATTTTGTACCAAAAAGCTCGTTTATGAAGTAATAAAAAGTTTTCCTAAAAGCTAGTTTGACATCATTGAGTAAAAAATTGCCTCTACTCTTTTAGAACCTTATACTCATCTCAAATCCATTCATAGGACACCTTGCTTTATATAACCTTCTATTTCAAGGGTTGGTTCACCTTATTCTTAGTTATCATATTATTACTTATATAATGCACTATGGTAAGTTCTTTAATGCTTCTTACTTTTCTCTATATTATTATTGCTCACATTCTTCATTATGTTTGAGATTCCCTTCACCACGACCTTAATTATATGGCTATATCACCACTTATATGTATTGCATATTATGATGTTGATTTGGTTGGTGATCCTTCCTAATAAAAATCATTCACAATGATTTGTTTTTTGCTAAGTGTCTCATTAATTTTTTAAGCAATAAGAAACAAATATGGGTTGCTTGTTTTCTTACTGAAGATCAAAGTATTGCCCTTGTTGACACATTAATTGGTTACTTTGATTTTTACCTTATAATTTCTTAGGAACACACAATTGACATCTTCATCGATTCATATCCTTCCAACCCATTTTAAAAAATTTTATGTTTACGAAACCCAAGTTTACATTTTTTTTTCTTCAAAGAGTTTGTGAGAGAATTATTTACATATATCACAACAAGCCTAAATATGTAGAACATGATTTTCTATTATGTGGACTCTAAAAATTTGGCCCCAACCTCAGCCCGCTCGATTGTTTTGCTTTTCTTCGGCGAGAGAGTTTTAACTGAATTAAGTTCCAGGGTAAATTTTGGAAGGCATATGGGTTTGTAGATAAGATACTACCCACAGATTTCGCCCTCATTTTGCGAGGACTTTATAATATGAGTTATGGTTTCCTATAGACACAAGCCCTTATAGTTAATTACCCCTCTCAATCACGAGAGATAACTTTCGATTAAGACTAGTCGTCAATCAGATACGTAGATGATACGTGTTATCTTGCATACAATAGCAGCATATGTTTGGAATTGAGAATTTGGAAAGCTTTGATATTTAGAAAATTGATATTTAAAACAGAAATTGCACCATCTTGCACTTAAAAACGAATGTTGGGGGAATGGATGATGGACCCGATTAAGATCCCATGGTTCCGTCGTCCTGGGCCATCGTGATCCCTGGTCTACTTAGTCAAAGGAGGTAGTCGACCCAAGGCAACCTTGTAGACCTGGGATGGATATTTGCCTAAGGGGATAAATTTGAATCTACCTTAGCTGACAGAGGGCTTTGTGCCCTATCGATCATATCCTATTGATTTATATCTCAAGAATTTGATGTCAATAAGAAACATATTGGCTCTAGCCATAACAGGTATTTTGTAGTGCCATTTGGTAGCAAAATCACTCGGTTAAGAGGGCCCCGGGTCATAACCATTTATCATGCATGTGGTGCCATTTGGCGGCAAAACAATCAGTTAGAGAACACGTACTACGTCCTTACTAGCAGGAAATTATTTGAGAATGATTCCTAGTAATGTTTTCGACTAAGAATTTGGCTCTTTGTGAGCTGAAGTAGTTTTCATTTTGTCCACCCTGACAAATTATTACGAAGGGTAGATGGATTTGCTTTAAGTGATTGGTGATTGGATTTCAATTTTAAATATCTTAGAGTTTTGGGATTTTTTTTGTGAAATTTAGACTTTGGGTGGTCTTTTGAAATATTTGAAATTAACCCCTCCGATTGAGATATACATTCAACACGGTCATCATCGGGGTGTTTGAGGACATTTTTCTTGAACCTTGTCGACCCTATCAACTTTTTGATAGGGGATCGTGTTTCTTAGGCTTTATGCTTATGTTAGTGAATTCTCAGTGTTATAGGCCTTCAAGGCCTAATATGAATGTATTAAAATAAATACATCAGTCGTCACAACTGTGTATTTGTTTGAAGGTTCAAACCCTATCGACTCCTATTGATCTGTACAGAAGGATCGGGTTTGAACTTGAAGTCACTTATCGATGCGCGTAGCATCCCTAGATGTCACATGTGTATTTATAACATGCTCGTCAGGGCCCATGCTGGTGTTTGGGGGCATTTTGTAATTATTTGTTGAACCTTATCTACTCCTATTATTTAAGAGGATCGGGTTCAGATTTATTGACCCGCGCAGCATCCCTAGACATCACGTGTGTGCTAATAACACGCTCGTAGGAGCCCATGCAGGTATTATGATTGCTTTTACCCTTTTAATGTACCTATGTGTATACAAACTACGGTAAATGTGTGGGGGTACTTTGAAATTATTTATAGAGGCCTTATGTCTTCTTGCATAGAAGTTGTGGATCCGATGGCGTTTTAGTCTTGATGTTATGAGACATCTCCTCATCTTAATGTTGATTCCCCCTTTCTCGTTCACCAGGGAGGTTCTTCTGGACTTTAAAGTCCGCTGCTTTGAAAAGAATTCATTTTGAGATCATCAGTGTAATGGACTTATTATTTTCGGTGTTTGTAGATATCAGAATTGTTTTCTTATTGAGTATAGGATTAAGAAAAAATTTTGAAACACCGAGAAATTTAGTTTGAATTTGCTCAAACATCTCATCTATTCTGCCAGGGGGTGTCCTTTTTCATACATTAGGTTGCCCATGTACCCGACATACTTGTAGATCTTAATCACCATTATCGTAGGTGATATCTGTGCTTGTGACTACAGTGGTTCGTTGCACCTACGATGTATCCATTGTTGTTATCCACAAGTGATTTGTACTCATTTGCAAGGACCCGTTGTATCCGTAACAAGCTCCTAGGTGTATTCGTAGAAGAGCCATTTATATCAGTACCATATCTACCTTTCACCAATCTCAGGTGGTTTTGAATGATTGTACTTGTTTGTAGGGACGGGCTTCAGCTACTTAATGCCGGTATTGCCATCTTAATCTACAGGCATATGTAGGGATTGTCGTAGGAGTCTGTTATGCTTGTATTACGTCTACCTTTGTCATTCACAACTTATTTGCAGCGACGGGTCCTCTGCTATTGATCTTCAGTATCGCCTCTTTCAATCAACATGCGTCGTTGCTTATGTTAGAGAACCCAATAGCGTACATGAGAAATTTGTAACTCTTTGTCTTCAAAGATGATTTGCTATACTCACGATGAATTTAATATCATATCTCTCAAAACTTCATTCTAAATGGGATGATCATTACATAAGAGAAATTCCATGTTAAAGCACAAGCATCTTTATTTGCTTGCATGAGGTTTGAATGATTTCTTCTCATTATCATTTGCATTGAAATAAAAAAAATTCTTTTAACATCTTGAAATTCTTTGTTGATCATTTATTTCAAATCAAGCTTCAAGTTAATGTTATTTGGTCCAAATCAGGTTCAAGTGTTCAATCCGGTTCAAGTTCATATGTCCCTTGTGGTCCGACTCAAGTACTCGCTTGAGTTCAAATGTTCAAAATTATGCTCAAGTTCATGGTTCATTTCAATGTTCAAATCAATGTGCAAGTCCAGTGCGTATACACTATGTCACATTTAGGTCCAAGTTCCACTTGATTTTTGAATCAAATGAGATTTAAGGTACAAGTTCATGTTTGAGTCAAATGTGTTCAATCAAGTCCAGTAATAATAATAATAATAATAATAAATCCTTTATGGTTGTCCAAATTTTTGCTCATTTATTTGAATTTGAGTTCTCTTGTAGTTTGATTTAATCAAGTTCAAATTATGTTCAAAAGTCCACAAGTCTACTGTTTGTTCTCATTTGACTCAAAGTTCTCTTTTGAGTTCAAATCAGGCCCGATTGCAGCAGCATATTCACCCGAAAACAACGAAAAACTAGGCCTCCTGCCACGCTAGAGAAAAGCGTGTACGGTAGGTGCCCTCGTACGAGGACACCGCGGCCGTGAAATCTTTATCCCCACCATGCCAGAGAAAGGCGTGTATGGGTCTTCGGTACCTGTTGCAAAAGAGAAGCAGTTTTTCCCCGAGAGCAGGTACTTATGAATATCCCGTTCTCGCTGTAGGCACCGCATCAGGTTCCCATCCCACCACGGTAGAGAAAAGTGTGCATGAGCGGTTTGCCGGCTCGACACGAACATCGAGAACAGAATTTTGGACCCAAGGGGTCGCTCACCTACCTCGTCGTAGGTGTCGCGCCGGGTTCCCTTCCCACCATGCTAGAGAAAAGCTTGTATGGGCGGTTTGCCGACCCGACACGAATGTCGAGGTAGGAGGGCATGAAAATTGAGACAACATTTATTATTTTTTGTTTTTTTAATAATAGCATTGCACTAGAATTGTTGTCAATGATAACAATTGCTAACAACATGAGCAACAATAATTATTATTTAAATTAATGATATAATAATAGTAACATAAAGCTAATAATACACCTCTATGTACTAAATGAATGAAGCTAAATAAAACTTAAAACATGAACTTTTGTAATATGTTACTTGACCTATATGTTTGAGCTGTAGGAGTTGGAAGAAAAGAGCTCAGGAGGTGGATGTGGGCTGATTTGGGATGAGTGGGCTTAGTGGACCCCTGTTTTTTTTATTGCTATAAGTGAAACTTGGGTTACAATGAGATGGGCTGAACTGCTAGTGGACTTTGGATTGTGAGAAAATGGGATTATATGGGCTGCAACTGTAGTGTAGAAGTTGTTTTGTGGAGGAGCGTGAAGCTATTTTGTAGTGTAGTGTTTTGTTTTATAAAGTACAGTCACATGGCTACAAGAAATGTCAGGAATCTCATTAGTGTAGCAGAGAAAGAGTAAATGAAATTAATGATAAAAAAAAATTCTTTGCTGCTACTCTTTGACTTCGACCGGAGAGATTATTAGGTGCGGAGTGCAGACGGGAAGAATCGTCCGCAACAAGTATTGAGTACCTAGTGTATCGAGTGCTACTCAGTACTTATCCGGACCGTGCACAGAATCTTGTTGTCGTCAAGCAGCCTTTGGATATTAGTTTGTGAACTGGGTGTAGGAATTGTAATGGGGCTGAGGATTGTTATAAGAAGGTTTGAAAGGCTATAGGTTGGGTTTAGTTAGAAATGGAGGACTAAGGTTCTGTGATGGATAGAAGAAGACGAACTGGCTTTAGGTTCGAAAGTATGGACCGCTGATCTGGGCAGAGATTTGGTACAGGTAAGTAATCATTTTAAGCAATTTATTTTTTCTTTTTGTAAGGTGAAGGTCAACTTATTAGTATTGTTCTCCTTTATTAGATTAATTATTCTCATATTTGCTTTCCCTTCATTTTCTCTGCAATGATTTATATAAGCATGAATATGCTTGCATAATTACATAAGAAAATAAATATCAATTATACTCTTTTTTTTCTTTTCTAACATAGAGATTTTTTTTTTTTTTTTTTTTTTTTTTTTTTAATATTTTTTTTTTGCGCTTGTACATACTATATATTAGCTTATATAGTTGTGATTTTTTTCTTCTTAAAAGTATTTATTAACTATAAATGATGATCATTATTTATATATCACAGGATGCAACACAAGTTAATTTATGGGAGAAGTTGAAAGAGGAGGTGAGACATTTGATTGATCAGAATAAGCAAAATGATACTATCGAGCTACTTGAGTATGTCAATACTTTGTGCCAGCTTGGGATTTCATATCATTTTGAGAGTGAGATAAAAAATGTGCTTACTTTCATAGCTTCATCAATGGAAAGCTTAAGCAATATATTAAAAAATAGTCTTCATGGCTCAGCTTTACTCTTTAGGCTTCTCAGAGAATATGGCATTAAGGCACTAAATACAAGGCAAGTATATCCTTCGATCAAATTGCATATAAATATTACTTTAAAAGTTGAACTTTATCTTTTTCGGTTAATGTTCATTAGTTTTAATGATGACACATTCTTTTATGGCATTTTAATAAAACAACAATATTAATATTGAGAGTTTTATTTTCTATCATTGATATAATCATTAACTTTTGAACTTATGTGTAACTAATAGTTATTCAATGTTGTAGAGAAGATTTCCTGGTTAGGAGCTTCAAAAATGAGAATGGGAGCTTCAAAGTTCATATTGTGAATGATGTAAAGGGAATGCTAAGCCTTTACGAGGCTTCTTATCTTAGTGTTGAGGGAGAGGATGACCTAGATGAAGCAATGGAATTCACAACTAAACATTTAAGTAATTATCTTAAGGAACCTTCTCTTATCCATCCCTCGTTAGTGGAACAAATAAGTCATGCCTTACATCTCCCTTTGCATTGGAGAATGCCAACGTTGCATACGATGTGGTTCATTGATACTTATGAGAAGCAAGAGAACACAAATTATAGCTTGTTTGAGTTTGCTAAACTAGATTTCAACATGGTGCAAAGCATCTATAAGAAGGAAGTTAAGGAGATGTCCAGGTACGTAATTTAAGAAGTTTTTCATACTATATATATATATATAACCTTTCTAATAGAAATTTTTTGCATGTTAGTTGGTGGAGGAGTATTGGTCTTGCTGGTGATGAGTTTAGTTTTGCAAGAGACAGATTGATGGAGAATTATTTTTGGGCTATGGGATGTGCTTTGGAGCCACATTTTTGGAGATGTAGGAAGGAGATTACCAAATTAGTTTCTATAATTACAACAATTGATGATATTTATGATACCTATGGTTCAATAGAAGAGCTTGTGCTCTTTACAAATGCCGTTGATGAGTAAGGAATCTATAAATTATAAAAATTTATATAGCCCTTTCTTTTTTATTTGTAAAAAATACAAAATTAAGTACAATAAATAAATACTTTTTGGAAAAGAAAGTTTATGAGAAAAAACATCAAATATTTTGTTCTCTATTTCAATCAAATTTTATCAATTATAATGAATTCTTACAGTAAAAATGCCATCAATAATAACACAAATTAATTTTATTTAATGATTTATAATTTGTATATCTCAGATGGAAAATCATTGAGATCCAATCACTTCCAAATTGTATGAGGAAAGCATTGCTGACACTTATCAATACTATGAATGAGATAGCATTTGCATTTTCAAAAGAAAAAGGATTAGACATTCTTCCACAACTAAAACGACCAGTAAGTAGTTCTTACATCACATGCTATTTTTCAAAAATTTGTATATTATTTGTAATGCAATATTCTCTATACTTATTGATGTAGTGGGGATATCAATGCAAAGCATATTTAGTGGAGGCAATATGGTATAATACAAGATACATTCCCACCCTAAACGAGTACATGGAAAATGCATGGCTTTCAATTGGTACTGCTTTGGTGCTAACTGTTGCATATTTATTAAGTGAAGACTTAACCAAAGAAGCTCTAAATAGTCTTGAGTTATACTTTGATGTTACTCGTTACTCATGTATGATTACTCGTCTATACGATGACTTGGGAACATCTAAGGTATGTCAAAGTATGTTACTCATCTATTTATATTCATAACATGCATCATTACCTAACATATAATCAATAAGATATACTATTTTAATTTTTGGCTTTTTGATATAGGATGAGCTTCAAAGGGGTGACGTACCAAAATCAATTCAATGTTACATGAATGAGACAAATGTTTTAGAATTTGTTGCACGGGACCATATAAGACAATTAATCAAAAAATATTGGAAATTATTGAATGGTGAATATTTTTCTAATTTCAACTTGGAGGAGTCTTTCAAACGATATGCACTAAATTTACCTCGAATGACACAGTGCATATATGAATATGGAGATGGGTATGGAAAGCCTGATCATGAAACTTGGGATAGAATCCTCTCTTCACTAATTAAGCCCATTCCACTATGAATTAGATGTTCTAATATGCTTTCCTGAATTTTGTATTTGATATGAATTGTTGAAGCTTCGTGATGTTATTTATCACAAACATTCATGTGATGGTATGTTGTTGTTTCTTTTATTTCAAAATTGTTGAAGCTCATTGTTTCTTTTACTTCTTCCTCCAAAATACCATTCAAGAAAGCTGACTTTACATCTAATTGATGAATCTGCCATCTATTCATAGCTGCAATAGAAAAAATTAATCTGACTGTATTAAATCTGTCAACCGGTGCATAAACCTCTTCATAATCTATCCCATGCATCTACTTGTACCCTTTGACTACAAGTCTAGCCTTGAATTTGTTTATACCTCCTTCAACATTTTTCTTCACTTTATACACCCACTTGACACCAATGGATTTTTGATCTTCGGGAAGTGAGGTCAAACTCCATGTGTCATTTCTCTCAATAGCATCAATCTCCACTTTCCTGACATCCATCCATCTCTTATCTGCAATTGCTTCATTAAAACTTAAGGGCTCTTCATATACATATAAAGAAAATTGAAACAACCCCTTATTATAATTTGTGGTGTCATATATCTCCTGCAGGTTTCATGTCTTCACCTTTTCCATACCATTAATAGTTGATTCTCCCAATCTCATCGTAGTGTGCAGTGGTGTTTGTTGTTCTACATCATCAATAATTTTTTCTAAATTTCTCACAATTGTGACATCCTCCACGTTGCCTTTTTCAAGCCAATCCCAAGCTAAGTTCTCTTCAAATCTCATATCCCTACTCACTACCACTTTCTTTGTTGTAGGATTATATAGTTTATAGGCTTTGGACATTTCATTGTATCCCACAAACACGCACTTCTCATATTTTTCATCCAACTTCTTTCTCTTTCGATCAGGTACATGAACATAAGAAATGCTCCCAAAAACTCTCAAGTGATCAACAATAGGCTTATGGCCGCTCCAAATTTCAAAAGGGGTTTGAGATGGATTACTTTTTGATATTGCTCTATTCAAAAAATAAACAGCACAAGACACAGCTTATGCCCAAAGTAGATTGGGCACTTGCCTCTCCTTCAACATACTCCTAGCCAATCCCATAATGGTTCTATTCAACCTCTCAACTACCCTATTTTTTTGTGATGTGTATCTAGTTGTTAACTGATGGCGTATCCCATTCTCCATCAAATAATATTGTATATCATGACTAACATATTCTCCATCTCTATCACTCCTCAACATCTTAATGAAATGGCTACTCTCCTTCTGCACAAGTGCTTTGAATATTTTTAGATATTCAAATACTTGTGACTTTTCTTTTAGAAAATACACTCAAACCTTTCTGCTATAATCATCAATAAATGTGAGAAAATAAAAATTACCTCCAATAGAAGTAGTGTGCATCGGTCCACATAAATTTGAATGAATAAGCTCTAATTGCTTCAAGGCTCTTTATGATTTTCTAACTGAAAATGGTTCATTTCTCTGCTTTCCTGCAACACATGCTTCACAGATCTTGTCTTGAACTGCAATATGTGGAAGCCCATCAACTATATTCTTCTGGCTCATATAAGAAAGTGTCTTGGAACTCAAGTGACCAAATCTACAATGCCATAATCTTAAATGATTTTCTATGGAAGTTTTCAAAAAATCATTTAAACTACAAATCATCTTCATGGGATACATTTTATTTGGAGTCACCTTCACCTTAGAAATCAAAAATTCATGCTTGTCTTTAATGGTACAAGTGTCAAAACAAAATATTAGCACATATCCCTTTTGATTTAGTTGCCCAACACTAAGCAAATTATGCTTAAGATTTGGAACATAGAAGACATCTGATATCTTCTTTTCTCCCTTCCTTGTTTGCACCAAAATGTCACATTTTCCTTTCAAAAATAATTTATTTTCATCTCCTGTACGTACTTCACTTTGGATTGAGTTATCCAAAGTAACAAACAATCTGCTATTGCCAGTCATGTGATTACTACAACCACTATCAATAAACCATACATCTACTGAATCACCAAACACCTTACTATGTGTAGGAAACATCGTGTTTTCACCTTTCTCACTTCCTTTTCTTGCACCATATCTGCATTTTCCACCTCATTCTCCTATCTCTTCCAACAAAAATGTTAAATGTGTCCATACCTTTTACAATAGTGGCATTTGATATTGGCAAGGTTGCTTCTTCCTCTACCTCTGAAACCATGTCCACGACCACGTGAACCTTCTCCATCACCATGGGTTCCATCTTGAACTTCACCTCCATCACTTTGTGTAGATTCTCCTCTACCAGTACGACCTCTTCTTCTAGTAACAAAGAGCCTTTTCCTCAACCAAAAGAGCCTCTTCCTCTATCAAAACCTCTTCAATGGCTACCTCTGAAATTCCCACGCAATGACACATGAGTTTGGAATGCTTCCTCAAGTGGTGTCAAATCATATTGCTTCATTCTTAATTCATGTGACTGAAGATATCCAAGCAACCCTTCAATAGACATTTTCTCTATATTTTTTGCCTCTTCTATGGCTTCCACTGTGGCTTCAAATTTTCTGATCAAGCTTCGTATAATCTTCTCAATAACCATTTTATCTTTCATAAATTCTCCATTCAACTTCAATTGATTAACAATGATAATTACCCGATTAAAATATTCTTCCACACTTTTCGACTCCTTCATCTTTAACATATCAAATTGGCTTCGTAGGGTTTGTAAACATACCATTTTCACTTTCTCATCTCCTTTGTAAGAAGCATGTAGTGTATCCCAAGCCTCCTTCACGGTCTTCACCATAGAGAACCGCTCAAAAATAATTTTATCTACTGCTTAATAGATGAAGAAAAGAGCCTTCTGATCCTTCTTCCGATTTTCTTTCAATTCTTGAAGAAGTCTTTGATTCAAATCTCTCTCAACTTCGGGCTCATGAAGACTGCTCTCTACAATCTCCTACAATTCTTGAGATTGATATAACACTCGCTTTTGAATACTCCATCGATTATAGTTCTTCCCCGTGAACTTGGGCAACTGAGGTTGCAAATTATTGTTGTTTGAACTCGCTACCATTCTCCAACTAGGCTTTGATACCAATGATGGAACCAAAAACAGAACAAATAAAAATTAAAAAAAATTATGTTCACTGAATGTTTCACGAGTTAAAGAAGAAAAAACAGAGAGCACACACTAAATTGTCTTTCACCGGAAAACCAAAACTTAAAGCAACCCTTCACACACTTTCACGAGAAAAAAAATGGTGCTTGCTCTCTATATTTTTTTTATCTATGAAAGTGTGTGAAGGGCTGCTCTAAGTTTTGGTTTTCCGGTGAAAGACAATTTAGTGTGTGCTCTATGTTTTTTCTTCTTTAACCCGTGAAACATTCAGTGAATATAATTTTTGTTATTTTTCTTTGTTCTATTTTTGCTTCCATCAATTCAGTCGCTACCTGATGGCTCTCTGGTAAGAGTGACAGCTTTAAAATTTTCTTCTTCTTCTTCTTCTTCATCTTCTTCTTCTTCTTCTTCTAGGAGTGTGTGTTTGGTGTAGGCTTTAAAATCTTTTCATTATCAAAGTATTGAAGATCTAAATCTATTCATGTATGATACATAATTAAATTTATCATTACTTTAAAGTTGATAGAGAGAAAAAGAGAGAAAAAATAAAGAGAGGAAGAAAGAGATAAACCCTAAATAAAGAGAGCAAGAGAGTGAGAGAAAGAGAGTGATGTAGAGAAAGAAGGAGAGAGAGAGAGAGAGAGAGAGAGAGAGAGAGAGAGAGAGAGAAGTTAAGAGAAAGATATGCATCACTTTTAGATTATAATGCTAATTAAAATAAAAAATTTCTTGATATGTATCACTTTTTGATTATATCAATATAGTTGAATTGATTCTCCAATAGGGTATATTCTAAAAATGCTTTCTTTCTCTAATTATGATTATTACAAAATTTAGAAGCTTAGATTTTGCTAACATATGTGATTAAATACTTTTGGGTATCATACAATTCTCAACTATATATTTTCTTATCAGAAGTATCATTATTTCTTCTGGATATATGATTTCACTACAGAAAAATGCGTCATTATCGTCGAACTTACCGACGGACATTTTCCTTCGATAATATTGGCACCATTACTGGCGGATGATTTACCAGTAAATTAACGGGGCAATATCCGGCAGAATACCACCGTAATATTACAGGAGCACAGTTTGCTAGCATTTCATTGAATTTTCTTAGTTAACCAGCGCATTCTCCGTCTGTAATTACTGGCGGACGTATCAGCGTATCGTGCGCTACTTACTTAAACTAGACAAACTATTTCTGTCGGTTGGGCCGCCGGTTGTTCATTTCCGACATATTTAGTTTATTACCGGCAGATTATGCCCGCCGGCAATGACGCATTTTCCTGTAGTTTTTGCTAGCATGAACATTTTCTCACTAAGGGTGTATGATCTATCTTAGGCTATTTTTCAAAACATTGATTGAAAATATTAACCTATATGAAAGTAGTTGGGATAAATCAACCAAGAATGTTTGACATATCCGAGATTGTTTGTCAAAGCATTATGCAATGATGTTAATCTGTATGGAAGAGATCGAGATAAATCCATTAAGAATGTTTAACCTATCCGAAGATGTTTTCGAAAGAGTTGTTTGGTGCCATTAACTTGTATGGAAGAGGTCGAGATAAATTCTTTAATGATGTTTTACCTATGCAAAGTTGTTTTTCAAAGTGTTGCTTAAGGGTGTTAACTTATTTGAAAGAGGTCAAGGGATTCCACCAAGAATGTTTGATGTTTCCAAGATTATTTTTCAAAGCATTGCTTTATGACATTAGCCTGTATGGAAGAGGTCAAATTGAATCCCCCTCAGATCGATTATACCTTAATTGGAAAGGGGTGAATGCCACACGTATCCTAAATAAAAGGTGAAGTTTAGTTTGTCTTTAGACCATTTCTAATTTTTTAAGATCGAGACAATGACCTTGTATAAGGAGTTGAAGCCCAACTGGGGGCTGCATAAAGTTTATGATCTTCTTGTATTTCTAAGAAGCTTTATGAAAAATTATTGCAAGTGATACCATATTTATACGCAAGAAGATCGATATTTTTGAGATGCCACAACTATGTTTGAGATTACAACCAAGGTGAGAAGTGATAGAGCAATGTCTAATTGTTATTGTAATGAAGTTATCTTCAATATTGAAGAACTTCTTTAGGACATGATAATAAGCCATGGTAAAGGGATTATCTTACTTCAATCGTGCTCAGAACATTGATGTGAATGACCTTATGAGGTTGAAGTAAATTTTCCTCATAGCTAGTAATCATTTCTAACATATGATGAGTGATGGCTAATAGCTGACAAGAGATAATACATGTTTTATTCCCTTTGAGGTTGACCTTAGTATTGAAGGACTGCTTTTGAACTTGATAATAGATCAAGATAAGGAGACTACCTTGATTTAATCGCACCCAGGATAGTTATATTAATGACTTTTTGAGGATGCAACAAAGGTGCATCCTGGAGCATTTGTAGAGGTAGAGAGATAAAGGGTTTAATGTTTTCGCTTTGAATAAAGATCCAACACACATATAAATAAAGAGAGAGAGGTGCAAGAGTTATACGAGACAACAAATTTTTTATTTAGAAAACCATGAAAAGAGAATAAATCATGGGTTCTAGCCCAGTTTAAATGATTCTATTAGTGTTTATTATTGATTATAAAATAGGTCACTTCTTGGAGGAAGGTCTTGGCTTGATTTAGCAAATATACAACAGATAAAGCATGTTATATGGTGGGAATTGGAAGAATCTAGTGATATTAGAGTTATTCTTAAGAGAGTGTTGGCTTTTTATTTGGTCGGTTGGACCATAATCGGGCGATAATGATCAGAGAGACCAGAGTTAGGTGACGTTGATCGGAGGTACTAAAGTCAAGGGGTAACGATGGTAAGAGAAACCATACTCCAAGGGTAGCAGTGATCGAACTAACTGTAGTCGGCTAGTGGAGGTGGTCAGAGGGACCATAATTGGTGGGTGATAGAGGTCTGAGGGGTCGTAGTCAACAGGCGACAAAGGTCGAAGGGATCATAGTCGGTAAGCAACATAGGTCGGAGGGATAATAGTTGATAGGGGATAGTTGTTCGAGGGACCATAGTTGACAGGCAATGGAGGTCAACGACCAGGCTGAGGTTTAACTACGGTAGGTGACCAGACAGAGGTTCGGTGGTGGTCAGAGGTCGGGCAGAGGTCAGGTGGTGGTTGAAAGACAAGTGGTTGTTCAGCGATATTCGGTGATCGACTAATGGTTGATAAGTGGTTTGATTATGAATGAGAGAAAGTTTGATAAATATTTACGGCTGATTAAAAGTTCCACGGTGGTTGACGGTCAGGCGGTGGTTCGATGATTGATGGGTTGAAGTCAAATAGTGATTTGTTGATGAGAGGTGATTTGCTGATGGTTGGATGGAAGTTTGATGGTGGTTGGTGGCCTCGTAGAAGTCTGGCAGGGTTCGGTGGCTTAGTGGAAGTCCGACGACAGTCAATGGTCGTGCAATGGTCCAGTGATAGTCGATAAAAGTTCATCGGTAGTGGTGCTTGAGTGGAGTTCTAGATCCTTGAAACCTCATAGCACTCTCTAATATCAAACCAAAGGTGTTTTCCTATAAAGGTCCATGTCCCCTTTAATGTGATAAGTTGGGATTGATTTAGAGATTTTTTAGTATAGCATGCCCTGCAAATATGGAGAAAATCAAAGGCAAAATTGGAGTGGTTAATTAAATGACTCATAGCAATTCCATCAAGCATAGAGTGCTTATTGAGTATTTAAGTGCTATAATGATGTTGAAATTAACATTCTTAGGCTCATTGGATTTGGCTCATCGAACTACTTGATTAGACTATAAGTAAGCTATATTTGGATATCATTTGCTCATCCAATTTGTGTTTTAAACCTTTTAAATGGTCCTTGGCCCCCCGATTTGGACTATTTGGGCTCAGAATGAATTGATTCTTGTGTCGTTGGGTTCATCTCTTCGAGACATTCAATTTTCTATAAGTTTGTTGAAATTGGAGTTTGGATGGTCCCAACTTTAATTTTGGAAGTTGTCAACTAAGATATGTCTTGAGAATTGTGCTGGATAAAGGCGATTTTTTTGTCATATATGTTTCCATCTATTTTTGAATGTTGCAGTTTGCGTAGTCCGAAAATAATTGTCTGAGCATTCTTAAAAGTTGTAATGCAAAATCATAATTTTTAGAAAATTATGAGGCACGATCTCTCCTGCACCTTTATCAACATTTTACTCTAATTTTGTAGCGCGACCGCTCAAACACAAGAACCCAATGACACCAGAATGAGTCCAATCCAAGCCCAAATAGGTCCAAATAGCCGGACTAAGGTACATTTATAAGGTTTAAGCTCAAATTGGTCCAAATATAGCATGCTTATAGTCAAATCGAGCGACTCAACGAGATGAATCCAAAGGGCCTAAGAATGCTAATTTTTTAAATCATTATGACACTTGGATGCTTAATTTTTTTTTCTTATTACATAGATGGATGTAACACTTATATGCTTAATGATAATTCTATGATCGAGGGAATTGATATGAGCCATGTAATTGACCACTCTGATTTCTCCTGGATCTTCTTCAAGGATCTAAAACTCTACCCAAGCACTACCACTGATGAACATTCATCAACCGTCGTTGGACCACCCCCCATCAACCAATTTTTGTTGTAGTTCCACTAGGCTATCGACCATCGCTGGACTTTCACCTGGACATCATCATTGTCAGAGATCCTCTCAACAATCATCAAATAACCACTTGGCTGCCAACAACAGCCAACTTCCACCTAGCAGTCAACCACAATCGGACATTTGCCCAGCCATCGACTGATACCAGACTTTCAATCAGCCGCCAATCTCTGTCGGACTTCCATCTGACCGTTGTCGGACCACCACTCGACTATCTTTGAGCAACCACCCCGATCACCGATCATTGTCAAACCACTACCTCTCTGTCTAACACCACAAGACCTTTGTTCGGCTACCGACCACCACCAGATCTCCCTTAAGCTGCCTATCATCATCAGACTTCATCCCACCTGCCAACCTCCATCACCAGTCGACTATGTTCCCTCTGACCTCCATTGCCCGAAGACTACGATCCCTCGAACCATTGTTGCTCACTAACTACGGTCCCTCTAACCTCCTTCACCTGTCGACTACAGTCCCTAAGACCGCTCCATCACTCCACCAACTACGGTCCCACCGTCCTCAATCTCACCAACATAGTCCCCTGACCACTAGCCCACCGACTAAAGATCCTCTGACCACCCATCGCCCATCAATAACAATCCCTCGGTTCTCCAACACCCACCGACTACGGTCCCTTCGACCACCGTCGCTCACCGACTATGGTCCCTCTGACCGCCGTTGCACATTGACTATGGTCCCTCTGACCACTCTCTTCAAACTCTGGTCTCTCTGACCATCGTCACCCGACTACGGTCCAACTGACTGAATGAACAAGCCAATGCACTTTATCTCTCTACCTTCACAAATGTTCTATGAAGCAATATATATATATTATATATATATATATATATATATATTATATATATATATATATTATATATATATATATATATATATATATATATATATATATATATATATATAATATAATATAAAGATGTCATACCTTGTATGTGATCGGTCAAAGCACCAAGCTGAACCTCAATACTTGCATGCTATAGTTTATATTTCTTATATGATGTACAAAATTAAACATTATATTGAAAACTTCTCTTATATAAAATGATTTTTCTTTATTATGGTAGACATGCTTGATTCTTGTGCTTAAAAGAAGGGATTCTATAATTTTCTTTTACAATGAGCCTCTAATCTTCTCCATTGTGTTTGCTTCTCTAACCGAAAATTTATCTCACTTCTTTAGAAATTTTAACTTTATTGACGAGATGGCCTTGTCTAATCTTTCTTTATATTATGAACTAGTTTTGGGATTGGTTTATCTTATAATTACTCATACAATACACTATATTAGTTAGTTCATTGATGTACTTCGCTTTATCTAGTATGTTAGGGTTTTTTCACATCCTTCATTATATACAAAGTACCCTTCATTAATTACTTCCTTCATTAGTTGAATACATCCCCTTCTTTACTTATTGCTTACTTTGATACATGCTGGGTTGGTGACCTTACTTACCAAAAATCCATCACAATATTTTGTTTCTTCCTAAGCAACTAAAAATAAATGATGGTTGCTTGTAAGTGTAAAATCTCAAAAATCGAGCCCACCAATTACATTTGTATGCCTGTAAATAGTAGCATATCTTTGATTTCTTTTCTTCTTAGATGTGTTTGTTAACTATCAATAATGATCATTTTTTATATATCACGGGATGCAACATAGGTTGATTTATGGGAGAATTTAAAGAAGGAAACAAGGCATTTGATTGATTATGACAAGCAAAATGATACTGTTGAGCTACTTGAGATTATGGATGCATTATGCCTGCTTGGGATTTCATATAATTTTGAGAGTGATATCAAGAATGTGCTAAGCTTCTTAGCTTCATCATTAGGAAGCTTGAGCAATATAATAAAAAATAATCTTCATTGTTCTAGTTTACCCTTTAGGTTCTAAGGGAATACAACATTAAGGTTTCAAATCTAAGGCAAGCATACCTTTTATATTTTTTTAATACATTCAAATCTTTATATCAAACTTTATTTTAATACTACTTTAAAATTTAAACTTCATTTTCTTCAATTAAAAATATATTACTTTAAACTTTTAAGTTTATTTTCATGATATTTTAACATAACACTAATTCTAAAGTGAAAGTTGAATTTTATTTCCTTTCATTATTGAAATTATAAAGCTTTAGGAATTGTGTAAATAATATTTATTTCATCTTGCAGTGAATATTTTTTGGTTAGAAGTTTCAATATTAAAATTATGAATGATGTAAAGGGAATGCTAAGTTTGTATGTGGCATCATATCTTGTTGTTGAAGGAGAGGATGATCTAGTTAATGCAGTGGAATTTACAACTAAACATTTAAGTAATTCTCTTAAGGAACCATTGCTTATTAATCCTCTACTAGTTGAACAAATAAGTCATGCCTTGGAGCTTCCTTTATAGTGGAGAATGTCAAGGTTGCACACTAGGTGGTTTATTGATGCTTATGAGAGAGAACATGAATCGCTATTTTCTTGAGTTTGCTAAATTAGATTTCAACATTGTACAAACTATCTACAAGAAGAAACTCAAGGAGATATCTAGGTATGTAATTTAAGAAATTAATCATACTTTTGTGGTATGAGGGATGTAGCCACGCTTTTGGAGATGTAGGAAGGAGATTACCAAACTAGGTTGCCTCATTACAACAATTGATGATATTTATGATGTGTATGGTTCTTTAGAAGAACTTGTGTTCTTTATGAATGTTGTTGATGAGTAAGAAAGCTATACAATTTTTTTCAAATATTTTGATTTAGTAAAACATATATTGAGAGGCAATAAAAGTTATTTTTCTTTTGAATATTTTTCAAGAAATCCTTCATAACATATCACACAATTTGCTCTTCAAAATTTTGTTTCATGTTTTATAATTTTTCTATCTTAGATGGAAAATCGCTGAATCCCAACAAGTTTGAACTTGTATGAAGACAACTTTGTTGGCACTTTTCAATACAATGAATGATATCGCATGCACCATTTCAATAGAAAAGGGAATAGACATTCTTTCCCACCTAAAGCAAGTGGTGAGCCATTTTGGTATCATTGCATCATTATTTTTATATATTCATCAAATAATTCTAATGCAATATTTTCTCTATTTATTGTTATAGTGGGGAGATCTATGCAAATCATATTAAGTGGAGGCAATATGGTATTATACAGGATGCATTCCCACAATAAACGAGTACATGCAAAATGCATGGCTTTCCATTTCTGCTCCATTGATCCTTACTTCAGCTTATTGCTTAAGTGAAGACTTGACTATAGAAGCTCTAAATAGTTTGGAGTTATATATTGATGTTACTCTTTATTTGTTTATGGTCTCACGACTTTATGATGACTTAGGAACATCAACAGTACATATAATTATGTTATTATACTATATATATATATATATATATTCATAACATGCATCAATAACAAACTTATGACTGAAGGGATGGTTTATATTAGTTTTTGGGTTTTTGATACAGGATGAGCTTCAAAGAGGCGATGTACCAAAATCGATCCAATGCTATATGAATGAGACAAAAGTTTCAGAATCAGTTGCAAGGGATCATATAAGACATTTAATTAAAAAATATTGGAAGTTGTTGAATGCTGAATATATTTCTAATTTCAACTTAGAGGATTCTTTCAAAAGATATGCCCTAAACCTTCCTAGAATGTCACAATGCATGTATCAGCATGGAGATGGGTATGGAAAACCCATATGTGAGACTAGGGATAAAATAATTTCTTTGCTAATTAAGCCCATCACACTAGGAATTAGGGATTCATCTACTTAGTATTTGATATTATTTTGTCAAAGATGTTAATCTTCATGAACCATTTGTCCCTAAAATCTTGTCATAGCTTCTTGTTGTTTATGTAAGAAAATAGACAAACAAGTATTGTTTAAAATATATTTGCTTTTATTATAATGTGAAATTTTGGTTAGCATGCTGACTAGTTAGTTAAAGCCAATCAAAGTTGTTTTTTTTTTCTTTTCTTCAAAGTTGAAGTTAAAGTTCAATTAATAGGTATATCTATTTTTTTATTATTTTGAAGGGAATATTATTAATATAATGATCTCAAGACATCTATGTCATAGAAGATAGTGAAAATTAATGTTAACATATTAATAGTTTGAGAAATATTTTTATACAATATAAATAATTAAAAAAATAGTTATAGATAAATACTAATATTTACATTTAATCTATTAGTTAAACTACTTATCTAAAATTGGCCTATTATAGATGCAATGGGATAGAAGTTTATATTTTGAATTTAAATTTATATGTTATGGCATAGTCTAAAATTGTTCTTACACTATTGTGATACTTTGGATAGGAGATCCTCAATGATTTTTCTTCCTTAGCTTCAAGCAAGTTCTTCAATCGTTAACTACCTCTCCCTCTTCTTTCTCTAATCAGAGTTGCAGTTCCTTTACATCATCTACTTCTCTCTCTTTCTCTCTTTCTCTCCTCCTCTAACTTTGGCTAGAGAATTACCCCTTTCTTCCATAAAATACCCACCATCGCCCTCCACCACAGAAAGGCTTCTAATAAAATTCAAGTATTGTCATCCTCCATAAACTCCTACTTTTCGGTACTCTTGATCACAAATCTTCTCCTCAAGGGGATACAATCTAAAATGAAATGCTCATCCTAACTTATTACCTGAAGATTTCCCAACACTTAAAAGATCATTTGCCAAGTATCACTCTCTCACCAAACTCCTATTATCCCTGGCCTAGGGCAAACCCCCAATTAGAGAGGAATCCCCATTAAATAGAACCTCTCTTTGAAGGAGTTAACTATTAGCTTTATTCAATGGTTAGATATAGCAATTATCTTTAACTTAGATGAGATCTCCGTTGACCTAACATTGGTCAGGTTCTTCTTTGGTAAGAGACCTTATTACTATGCTCTACTTAAAAATGATAGAATAGCTTGGAATCTTAAAGGTACTTCCAACATCTTACTTTGAATGATGGTTTCTTCCACTTAAAGTTAACTTGCGAAAAGGATTATGACATAGTTTAGATGGGGAACCTTGGTTTTCCTTTAGAAAGCCTTTCATTTCCCATATTTTATATCAACGCATAATAAAATCTCTTCTCCTTTTATTTTAATTAAAATCATGAATTTACTTCTATTTTGTTATAATCTTTTGGGAATTTCTAAAATTTTCAGTTGGGCTTGTGTGCTTTTAGGGGTTAATACCCTAACTGTTAATAAAAATAAACTAACATTTGCTAGAATGTGTGTTTAATTATCCAATGGTGTGCATCTAGGGGTTAATCCAACCCAATAACTTCCTCAAGCTACCCATAAAAACCCCAAACAACAAAAGGTGATGCCCTCATTGCCACTCCTAACTCAAAATCTCCTTAATTTTCTTCCTATCCCTAACCTCATAGAACATTGGGGTTCCATAAGTTAACCTAGGCGGTGCATTATAAGAACCTTATTTCTACCTATAAAATGGACATTTTATGCATCTTATAGAACAAAATTAATCCTTCTATCCTAATTGACACTTTATTCATTAACACCCAACAACTTTCTCCACTGAAAATAGTTACAATAACTTCCACTTAGTGGCCTTGGGTTGCATCAAAGGGTGTGCATTTAGTTTTTTTTTTTTGGATAAGTTAGTTAATGAATTTGTTAACTAATAACCAATTTAAATAAGTATTGAAAATATGATATTTCTACCGCTTATCAATTTATAGTTCATGAACTTTAATGATTTAGAATTTGAAAGTATTAGTTTAATTGAGTTTTTGGTTTGGTTAATTTTGCTAAAGAAAAAAAATAAACCAATAACCAAATTTTAAAGAAAGTCCAAATTACAACCAAAATCCAAATTGATTCATGAAACCTTCAAGATCTACACTTGCACACCTTCATGGCATGTATTACAACATAAATAAACAACTTATAATCATACAACAATACCACAATATATTTTAATGTTACAGCACATAAAAACATTACTTTAATCATTACTCTTTTTCATAAATACTGTAATAGGCCAATTATGCACTGCATAACCTATGTTATTGGTCTCCTGATCTCCCCACCCATCAGGAGAACTTCTAAATCAATCACCCACTATCATTCAACATTCAACATTACTATTTACCATTGCCTAATGCATTCCATTGAGAAACGTCCTCTAGCCACTGAAATTTAGTGCCTATTTTCTTGATTATCTAGTCTCCCCTCTTATTAAGAGAATGATCAGATCGATCTCCCATTACCTCCTAATTTTTAAGATTTGTTATTAACCATTTTTCTACACTAGCAAAAAAATTAATGGCTGATATTCATTAAACACTAATATATTATGCTTGCCATTCTTCTTACGAGGAGAACAATATACGAAAACACAATTAACCATGATCTCCATACTTCTAACATTCCCCGTCAATTATTATCAGATGTTAGTCATCAATGTGCACCTTTACGTCAAAAAATGGAATGTCCAATTTCACTCTGAATTCTCCCTGATGTCGATCAAATCTGTTCAGTCGCCGGCGACGAGGATTGGTGAACTTGCCTTTTGAATCAGTAAGCTGATCTGGACTAAACTAACTGCCCTCATCCTCAGAATAAGTTACCTCGACAATCACTGATGCTCGTCCCCTATCTCGTTCAACATAATTGTGACGCCTAGGTGGTAGTGCTACTATTGGGATGCCTGGACGAGTAATTTTCTGAAGGTTGATTCCATCATTATGGATTTGCAGAATATGACGAATGTGTCTTTAGACAAACGAAAAAGATTAGCAAACATATCAGCTACATGCTGTGGTGTGGAAACTGGTCGGCAGGAAGCACTCAAAGGAAGTTACTGAAGACCTGCACAACGAAAATGAGAAGACAAGGCAATGGAATAGGAAAAACTTGGGTATTCTAATATCTTCCTTCTTATAACCTATTTGTATAAAGCTAAAACTATTAAAAGGATATTTGACTAATGAAAGCTAATAAAATAGTGACTAGGTAATACTACTTTTGCATAACTGAAAAAGAAATAAGAATGTGTAAAGTGGACTGCAGATAACAGAATGTGGCTGCAACACCTTCACCTCCTTTAGGCCTAAGCTGCACCACATCAGGTGCCCTCCGCTGCTGAAATTTCAGGTTCCACCTGAATATTCATGTTGGACATGTCATCGGGCGGGTGATTCAGGAAAATGCCTACAACATTAAATGTCTTGGAAGTTTATAAATGGTCCGGAAGATCTACGACATATGCATTGTCTTTGATACATTTGAGTATTGGAAAGGGACCAAACTTACGATGACTTAAATTGGAAAATGCCCTAGGAGAAAATCTGTCCTTACGAAGTCTTATCATTACAAGGTCTCCAAGTTTGAAGGAGACGTATCTCCTATGGAGATCAGCTGCTTGCTTATAATTGGAGTTA